AGCATTCCCTAAACGGAGGCCTATATTTGTAATAAGATGGGAATTGCCATTCTACCCACTTTTTATGTGTCTCGTTCCTAACTCTCCCTGGCTTTGAAGTAAGTCTTGGCCTGGGTAGGAGTAACCAAAAGGAGTCTTGAAGGTCACATTGGTGTGGCGCCAGCTCCTAGCACTGTTGATGCCACAGCGGCTACCTCGTGAATTGGAAGTTATACCTGTGCGGTAGTTGTTGCAGTTGAACCCCTTGTCTTCCGTCTCATACTGCCCTTATTGTTATCAAACGCTAACCTCCGGTTTGTAGGGAACCTAAAGTCCCTAGCCATTGGGAATGATAATGGAAGCATTGCCGTAGCGATGTTATTCTCTGGAATGGTGGAGACAATCCGCACCGCCGTCATCTTCTTTATTTGTTCCATGTACAATGAAATTGGGCCAAGCAGGCTTCCGCCAACAGTACCGTTATATTAGAAGGGTAGAAAGCATTTGTAATCCAACAGAGGATGCGATTCCAAAATGTTTGCATCTTCCCCATCATCGCCTTTGAGGGTGTCAGCACCTCTGCCCCATGCAGGAGTGTGGGTAACAGAATTCCTTTCGCCAGTCTTCGGGCCCCATAGGAGACAACCCCATGCCCGGTCTAGACAGTCTCTGTATTCTCGAAAAGGCTCCCTGTGTTAGGGATAACCTCTTGGTAAAGTGCGTGCTCATTTCCCTGTTGTCTGCTAACCAAAATCCCAGCCACCACAAAGTTCCATTGGCTGGCTCAACTCGATGGAAATTTATCGTAACCACCACCGTAGATCTGAGACCTTTCTCCCTCCTCTTGCGCCAGTGCATAAGTTCTGTTTTCGCTATGCTGAAGGACAGCCCCAACCTGTGAGCCTGTTGGTTGACCTGCTGGATCTTAGCCTCCAGTTGTCGTGTGTTCCGCTCTTAAGAAGTTGAAACTACCATTATCAGGAAGTCATCAACATATGATGTAGTGAAGGTCTCCATGGGATCATCCGACAAGTGAACAGGTTTCACATAGACTACGAACAGGAGCGGGGATAGCGGTGAGCCTTGTGGAACTCCCTTGTTCACCTCATAGGTGCATCTTGGGCTTCTCGGGTAGGCCAATCTTATATTTCTCGTAGCAATGAAATTTCTGATCCAATTGGTCAAATAGCTAGGGACTGAAAGGTTCTCAGCTAACCTGTCTATCAGCTTTTGGTGGTTCACATTATCAAAGCCACCCTTCACGTCCAGGAAGATCGAGGAGACCTTCTTTCCCGCAAACTGCACTTCTCTTGTCCCATGTTGTAGAACAAGTACCCCATCGACTGTGGATCTATGTGGCAGACTACCTGTCTGATTGATGCAGTACAACTCCGTTTTATAAGCAATATCCATTAGCCTACTATTGACTACCCTCTCTGCCATCTTCGAAAAGGTCTGCATCAGGGCGATCACCCTGAAGCTGGCATAGTCATTATAGTGATCCTTATTTGGTTTCGGTAAATTCACACCGATCGACTCCTTAAGCATAGTTGGGTGAATCCCCCATTCCAGCAGGTGTTGTACCATGGCCAGAATTCTCTCCAGGTGTATGCCATGAATTCCTTTTCACGCCCCATACCATACTTGGTCCGGGCCGGGGGCTGAGTTGCTACTACATTTCTTGAGGACATCGGTAATCGCGGACAGGGTCATGGGATGAAAATTACCCAGCCCATGCACCATTGGTTGTTTCACCACAACCGGCTCAACACTGTCAGGAAAGAAGTGATTCATTATCAAGAGTTCTGTTCGCTCAGGCGTGCTACTGGGACCAGCAGGTACCCTGTTCAGAACTCATTCTTTCGTAAGCTGGTGTGCCGTCTACACGTCATTCCTTTTCGCCATAGACAAGAATTGAACCCAGTGATCATGCTTTGCTTTGACTAAAGAGTTCCAGTATTCTTTCTTGGCTTTATTCCGTTCTTCCACTCCCACTCCATCCCATCTCACACATCTGGCAGCAGCAGTATAAACTCTTCTCAACTCTGTGATCTCCAGTATCCACCATGCCTTCCACCACCTCGTGAGCCTCTTCATAGGTGCTAACTCCTTGACTATATGGATCAACCTATTAAGGTTGTCCTGGAAATCATCTATGGCCTCAGCCACCATAGTAGTTACTTTATAAGCATCTCAGTTTCCGTAAAAATCATTGAGCATAGCTTCTGTTACAGGGTGAGGTTCCCCTTTCTCCCCCCGCCATTGTATTTCTTTCCAATTCAGCGCCGGCTTTGTAACCTCTACCTCCGCAGAATCGACGTCTATGCAGATCACGATGTCGTCCGATCCAGTTATTTGCGTAATATCCCGCCATCTTGTTACTCTACCCAACAGGGAAGTGTTTGCCAGGAAGTAGTCGATAGTAGACGGTCCATGTAGAATCGGGTTATCCGCAAATCTCATGTGTATTCCGGGAGTATTCAGTATCGCATATCTATTCAGGGCTGCTGTGCGCTTGTACAGCTCCCCTTGTCGTCTCTCACCATGTGAGAGGTTTCTAAGAGGGTCCACATACATCATATGCACATTAAAGTCTCTGACCACCAAAGTAGGCTCGTTCATTTCTTTAAACAGAGCCTTAGCTAGAAGTGAGTTCCATCCGTTGCTTCTTCAGTTGTAACCATTTATAATCCCCAAAGAGCGGCTTGGCCCAAAAAGCTTCCCCTCTCTCGCAATAACCCTCACATGTAGCATGTCCTCCATGCTGGGCACCAAAACAAAGGAAACCTCCGTCAACACCCTTAATGAAATATACATGCATATCCTGACCTTATCTGTTTTTTGAAAAATACACATACTCTGGCACCCTTAAGGGTAAGCCATAGAACAAGGACGGATCTTGAATACATACAAAGGAAATACAAAAATTCCTAATGACATGAAATAACGAAATGAAAACATCATTACTCCCTCTGCAATTATGCTGTACTACCTTAATCTTGATCTTCTGCTCACCATTATCTCTTCTACTGTCCCCCTCCATCCCGACCCAACGGCCTAGTTCTGAGTTCCCAAAGTACTAGCATTGGCTAGGAGTGCCATCCGCTGGTCATATTTCACCTTTGCTTGTTCCTTGACTCTGACCTTCTCCAGGCACTCCGCATCTCTGGCTGAATGTGGTCCCCCACAGGCTGGGCATTTTGCAGGTGTCATAGAACAACAATCTGGTATTTTCTTCTTGTAGCCCCTACTGGCAGTTTGATAGCATTTGTGGGACTCCTCTGTGTGGTCCTTTGAGCAGATCGGGCATGTGTCATTGGTTTGTTTACAACCTATCTTAGTGTGTCCAAACTTCCAATACCAGGTACACTGCGTAGTCGAATTTACTTGCCACATAACGTTGGCTTCCTTGTATTTCCCCAAGAACAGGACCCTGGGGGTGATCTTCTCGACCACGGCCTCTGGTATCCTTACGATAATGGAAGTCACTCTCTTCCTTTCCCTATCACCCTCCCTCAACTTGAGGTATTTGGCGCTTGAAACATCAATATCATGGGACAGCTTGAAAGCACTCTTGATGTCTGCAGATAATTCTTTTCTGTCCTCCGGGATGGCATCGAAGGGTACTCAATGGATGAGCATATCCACATCAGTTAGGGCTCTCATGAAAGCCATGAATTGTACCTCCCCATCCTCAACCACTGAGTTCAATGCCACGGTCATTTTCTCTAGGTATTTCGTGTAGTGCGACAAATCGAAATCCGCCAGAGTAGTTAGTAACACTGTGCCGTTCCATCTATTGAAAGCAACCTGTAGGTTGATCAGAGCCTTGCACTTGCACTTTGTCAGGGTGTCTGCGATCGCAATGGATATTCTGGCCTCGTCTCTGGCTTGGTGCCTGAGTGGGACTGCCTGAGTTCTAGTCGCAAACAATTTCCTAGCTGCCGAGTGCTTCTCTTTCAACTTCTTTTTTGAACCTTTTACCTCCCATCCCTGGTCCTCTTTGTCAGTCTCGTGGTCCCCTTTCGGGTTTTTTGGATTAGGCTGTTTCGGGGGCGTCAGTCCCTAATCTGCCTTTCTCTTCTTATCTCCCTTCTTAGAGGTCTGTGTCCCAGGATCTGCTGTGGCCTGTGCGTATGACTTGGAAGCCTCGACAGGGGCCTTTTGCAAGATCTTAACCGCTTTTGTTTGACCCTCTCGGATCAGTTCTCCTTTGTTCTTGATATTCTGAATCGTTTTGGCCATGTTTTGCACCTCAACCGTGAGCTCCTTGACCTGTTGTGCCAGGCCCAGTATCAACAAGTATGTTGTCATCTCTGCTGTTCCGACGTCCTCTTTATTCAACAAGGTGACGACCTTGGCAGCAGGGGAGTTCTTCAGTAACCCGTGTACGGACAAAAGGTCGCAAAGGGTTTTCTTGATTTGAGTGAAGCCAGGATCTTCCCCGGAGTGCCCACCACCAGGAGCAGATGATCCAGGGGAGTCTGACCGATCGGTTTCCATAGCCTCTCCAGAGGAAGCCATATTCTGGAGTAGCCTGTCTGTCCTTTAACCTCAGCTGAGTCGGTGTTTGGGTAACCTGACAGGTCACGTTACGTGAAGAAAGAAAATTTTTGTATGGTGGTGTTGAAAAAAGTGCAAAATGCACTTATCCGGAAAATAGGGGGAGCGGAGCTTGGCTCGGAGACACGAGTTTTCTTTTTTGTTAAACCGCGGTTTATTTGTAGCTAACTACAGGAAAATCCATGGCAAGCACCCTAAGGTATGGCCTGAAAACCTCCTTAACATAACAAAAGAAACTTCATTCACCCCCAAAACAAACAAATAAAAGATAAAAATCACTAAACAAATCCCGTCACAAATGAAAATCATTACATATTATCATGATGCCAAATCAGCATTCCTTGTAAAGGGAAAAATCCCCATCTTCACCGGAAAGTTAATCCTATTCTCCATCACATAAGAGAGAAAATCTCCCATCAGCTTCCTGCCCGCCTTACCCCCCTTCCACAGCTCCGACTCCGGACCGGCTCGGAGACACGAGTACTGTACAGTACTTGTACGAAGACTATTCAAGTCCTCTTATTGGTCACACCTGGAGCCGCACCATACCAAAAACAAATATATCAAACACCCTCCGCAGCTAGAGTTGCGACGACAACGACAACGAACGGTTTCTTCACTGAGCCGTCAGTTTGCTTGTGCTCTCAAGTGCGAGGTAAGTGCGAACAATTCGAACCCTTCGTCGCAGCTCAATCACTGACAGGATATCTGACCTCCAAAATCCTTATCACTTCGTCTGATAGGGCAATTTATTATTACTATCTTTATTATCTATTATTGTTTTTAATTTGACACAATTTCCGTCTCTAGGATCCACCCGGCTGAGGTAACCAACTACAGGGTATATGATAACTTTAATGGATCCACAAGCAACAGCTTTCTCCCACCGCAAACATTCATACCTCCACTCTACTCCACTCCACAACCATCCACATCTTCTCTTTCTCCCCACTACTCTCCCCCAGAGAGATACCGCCACTGCTCCATCTATTCCGGCTGGTTCTGATCACTTCCGTTTGCGCATCCACACAAATCAGGCACCCATCAATACTCTCCAAATGTCGCTTTGCGTTAACCGACTTCAAGAAGAGCGGTATTATCTGCCTACCTCCGCTATGCTTGGTCCTGTGAAATGTAAACTATAACTAACTTAGTTTTTTATAGTAAGCAATGGCGCAAGGATCACCCCTTCGGTTTCTATGCGAAGCCCGCGAAAACTCCTCAAGGCGGTCTTGATCTGATGAAATGGAGCTGTGGAATCCCTGGGAAGGAAAAAACCATGTGGGAAGGAGGGCTATTTAAGCTGGATATGATATTTCCCGAAGGCAAGCGATTACCCACTGGCCTCATTTATATGAAGTAATCCTCTCTAACATGGGACTTGATTATAGAGTACCCGACGAAGCCCCCAAAATGTACTTTCTTCGCGACCCCTTCCTTCGAAATTATCACATAACCGTTACAATCCGCTAATCAATAACATCTCATAATAGGCAAGTTCGTGCCACCTCTCTTCCACCCCAACGTCTACCCTTCCGGTACCGTTTGCCTTAGCATCTTGAACGAGGACGAAGACTGGAAGCCCGCCATCACTATTAAACAAATTCTCTTGGGTATTCAGGATCTTCTCGATGACCCAAACCCTGAGTCGCCAGCACAGGCGGATGCCTATAATTTGTTCAGGAAGGATCGCCCTGCATACGAGAAAAAGATCAAGTACATTGTTCGAGTAAGCATGTGGCATTCAACTCTCTTTGAATATTTTTTTCTAAATGGTCACGTATATAATAATAGGAAAACCCGGCTCCCTGAGCTTCGCATTAGATTCAAGCGCCCGGAGTATCGGATACCACGGGGAATGTTCATCGGGGGGAGGGGGGGGGTGATTGGCGGGTCACGTATCAACATTTTTTTCAAATGGTCATCTTTGAGGCAAACACTCTAGTCAAGTTAGCAAAAACAACGGTTTGAATGGATCGCTTGCACCTTAGCCCGTTAGGGGTTTTCTATTATGATCCAATTTCCGGTTTCTAAGCTCCTTTGTGTCCTTATCCACCTTTGCCTCTCTGCCTGTTCATGTATTATATGACTACCTGCTGCTCCCCATCACATATATATTTCTTTTTCTTCTACTCTTGTTCTCTATAGGTGGATTAAAGGGTGGAGCAACATCTCAAAGTAGCCACGGGGTCGCTAGGCTTAGTTTATGTTGTGCATTAAATTATCTACCTTTTCAACGTCTTTTATTACTCTGGGTGTACAAGTAGAGATGGATGTACAAGTAGAGATGGGGGAGGGTGTGGAGGTGAGTCAGTCACGATTCACTGTTCGTGGGTAAAAAACTACCCGTATGGTTCCGGCGCTCTTCATCGGACATAGTGCATGGAGCTTGCTCTCTGATTTTCTCAATCTTTTGTGCCTGGGGGGAGGGCGGAATCTGCGGGGTATCTGTTTCGTTCCTTAATCTATCCCGAATGTCCTGTCCCATTATTACCCACCTAACCACCAGGTCACAAAATCGCCCCCTCACTTCGCACTCCGCCTACTTATTCACATGTCTTGGCGGAAAGATTTTTCTGCGCACAGGAGTAATTTGGGCGCTACTGTAGATATTTCACATCTATGTTACGCACGATCTTAACATACCCATCGCCACGCCCAACCCTACCAACTTTTGTTCCGTATCATAACGAAAATTCAACAAATGCCATACGTAAACATCCAACTATCCGACGATGTATGTACGTTCGTTCCCTCCCCATATGGAAGTTTTTTTCGCTAACCCCTCTTACCCAAGCGGATAATCAAGAGCGCCGCAGCAACGACTACAACGGCAAACATCGCGCATTCAACGACTAAGGTGGGGGAGGTCTTTGTTTACTTGTCACTCTCATGAATGCGGAGAGGTGTAGGTGATAGCTAAGATAAGGATGGGGTGAGAAAGGCGTTAGAGGCACTGCTCTTAGCGTCTAATAAGTTGCGACAACGGGTTGAGATCACGAATGGGAGGATGGAAGCTATTCCCCGCACTAGAGCTATTGATCACGCGCTTGTTAATCAAAATCCTTCATCTTCCGGTCATAGTTGAATTGGTTGGCAAAGAGGCCGAGCGCTGGGGAAGGTTTCATTGGAAATACTGAGGTACAGCGATAAATTGTGATGCGTGCGAAGGAAATGTGATGGGGCAGCTAATTTTTTTTGCGAGGTCCCATCGGAATATGCTGTTTTCTCTCATTTTCTTTTCTTGAGAAAAAAGAGAAGGAAAGAAAAGAAGTTGCCAAATGAGTACACTACTTTGAGCACATTCTGAGGGATTTCATTACAGAAATGGGGAAACATGAGTCGTGTACTGGAAAGGCTAATTGATTCAAGACATTGTTTTTGTAAACCACATTGGTGCACCGACAAAAGAAAGATTCTGCTCCAGAGCCAGGTTTGCCAACCTTATTCAGACACAACCCCTGAAAATCTGTTCATACTCCTGGCGGCCTCACAGCATTGTAAGATGGGGGAGGTGGAGGTGGAGGTGGGGGATTGCCCGCTGGGGGAGGAGGTGGTGGGGGACTACTGGCGGGCATGGCCGAGTACGTCGATGCACCAGGGGCCTGGGGCTGTTGCTGACCATAATACGCTTGGCCTAACGAATGTATTAGTAGTCGGCCTAGAACAAAAGCTGGAAAGTGGGTCCTGACAGTATTGCATGTATGCCTGGTATCCGCCATACGGAGCATAAGGTTCTGCTCCTCCGTAATATGCGGCATAGGGGTTAACGTGAGATGCGCCATGAGCCCCCGGCGCCCCAGATGCCGCTACTGCCGCCTGTTGGGGGGGGGGGGCGGAAGGCGGAGGGGGTGGTGGAGAGGCCGGTTGCCCATGACTGTGATTTAAGCTGTGGGGGTTATGACCTTGGTTCTGTCCTTGTGGTTGGCCGTGTCCTGACATGGACGAAGTATAAGGATTGACGTTGTTACCTCCCCCATAATTAAGGAAACGGATAGGTTGAGGTTGCTTCTTATGATCCTCGTACTGAGATTTGACTGAGGTTAGAAGATCATCACAAAGCTCCTTTGCCCTCTGAACTTCTCGTGGATCAGGCCCACTGTGTAATGTTAGTGCCTCACAGCCTAACTTGAATGGGGGATTCATACGTCACATGTAGATAGAGCGGCTCGTCGCTCTCGTGGCCAAGACCATGTTCCATAAAACCAGACCCACGGCCTTTAATCTGCACCCTACAACGTGTCTCCTGCTGAATATGTTTAACATATTGGCCACCATGTCCGACAACGGCTGCCCGAAGGTTAAAGCCTGGAATGGGCTCAAGATTAACGGGAATCTTTTCTTCAGGCCATTTGCGCTAGTAGGGATGTCAGTTAGGTTCAACAAACAGGGTGATACTCCCAAGCTTACCCTTCCATACTCATCCCGCTCAACGGGCTCTGGTGGCTCCCTCCTCTTGAATCGGCGTTCGTCAACAAGATTCGGAAGATCCTGCTTCATGAGCTCCTCAATCTTTGACACAGCTTTCTCTAACCCTTCCTTGGTAGTGCTAGTGATATGTAGGTAGAGTGGTGGATTCTATTGTCAAAATTAGGCGAGGATCGTTGCAAAGTGGTAGGGGCATAGACTCATACCTGAGGAGTAGCCATAGACTTGTCAGGATAGTAGGCGCCGCGGGTGGTAACATCTTTAAGCGCAGAATGAGTGAGTACTCTATACACTAAAGCAAAAAACATGGGATCATATATGAGGGTAAGTGGGTCGTACCGGCGCCAGTTTCCTCTTTAATCTAAACAAGCACGGGTGATAGTCAGCGGCAAGACACCAAAGGGGTTATGCAAAACTATTTGCACATCATGTTTCAGTTTAAATGGCTCCTCCTTGAACTTCAGCTGTGCATAAGTATAAAGACTCGCCGAGTGCACGTGTAAAATACAAAGGGAAGGGAGTAGTCAATAGAGCTCACAACCGGGGAAGGGATCAATGTTTACCATTTTCTGAGTAGCGCCTTTTGTCAGTGTGTATCGGTTGCGAAGGTCATTAACTTCTATGTCTTTAATGTAGTCACCATCTGCGATATACATGTCACTATTGAATGTTGTTGTGCTCGGCGGGCTGGATGATTTTCCGGCGCTCTGTTAAAATTAGCAAACGCAAACCTCAACCATGGAAGGAATTTCCTCACAGAACGGATGGGCGGCACATCTACGTGTTGTATACCGCGCTTCGCTTGAATCTGAGCGTTGATACGGGCAGCTGCAGCAGCTAGTCGATGTCAGATGGAAAAATTAGAGCAAGGTCAGGTGATGCGGAGTGAACAATGGGGTTTACCTGCTGCGGCCGCTGGGTCAGGCTTCGACTCTTTTGCCGGTTCAACAGGAGGGCTCTCGGTAGATCTGCTAACAGAAGGGGGACTTCGGCTTCTCCGGCGATCGTCTCGAGTGGAAGAAAATTGGTTGTGGGGATTGGGAGAGCGAGAGCGACGGTCATCCCAACGAGAAGCGCCGCGACTGCTAACTGATTTCCCTCTCTCGGGTTCCCGATCTCTGTAGTCCCTAACGCGATCTCGGCCGCCATGGGAAGTGCTTCTTTGAGGCTCGTCCCACTTGCTTCGCTTCCTACGGTCCGAAGAGTCGTCGGTCATTGCGAATCGTGTTTGCTAGAGGAAGAAAGTTGAGGAAGGAGTGCCACGCGGAATCGGGTCGGTGTGCGGTGTAAGTTGAGGACAGATAGTGGTCAAAGTTGAGGAGGGAAGGATTGTTGATAGAAAGAGGAGTGGAGGCCAACAGTAGAGGAGGATGGGGCGAAAGAGGAAGGGCGGTAATTTACAAACTGTCTCGACAAAAATTAAAAGCTCCCACGTCTAGCCTTGATTGATGACTCAGCAGATTGAGTCTTTTTGGTGCACGTGAGGGGAAGGGCTTGGCAGCTGGACCATAGGGCGTAAGTGGAAAAGTATGATATGGGGATCATTGGTTTGAATCCTAGAATCTGGGAAAATCCTACTCCTTGTGACTTCCCCACCTCTCCTCCGCAAAACCATCACCCTTCACAAATATCCCCCTCCTTTAATGGCCGCTGTTCGTACCACCTGCTCCTCCCTACTGGGTAGGCCTGCAATCAACGCTTTGTCTCGTGCCATTGGGAGAGTCTATAACTCGTCCTCATCTTCATCCTCAACATCTGCCATATATTACAAGGCTCTTCACCGCCGCGTGAATCCTTTGCCTACGGCTGATCCCCCAGCATGGTCAGCTTCTGCAGCAGTTTCTTCAATTCTCTACGAGACTCCGCTACCTTCGTCCAATCCTCCAAAGCGCCATATCTTGAATTGCCTTGTTCAAAACGAACCGGGTGTTCTCTCGCGGGTTTCGGGTATCCTGGCAGCCAGGGGATTCAACATCGACTCACTAGTCGTTTGCAATACCGAGGTTCCCGACCTTTCCCGCATGACAATCGTCCTAAGCGGGCAGGACGGGGTGGTGGAGCAAGCCAGGCGACAGCTGGAAGATTTGGTTCCTGTTTGGGCTGTTCTAGATTACACTGCAGCACCTCTCATTCAACGTGAACTTTTGCTTGCGAAAGTCTCTATCCTCGGCCCGGAATATTTTGAAGAGTTGCTGGCTCACCACCGCGAGATTACAGCGGAAAATGTAGAGGCACTTGGTGAGCATGGGGTTGCGCCCGGGGACGGCGATTACCACCCCTCTAAGCTTCCAATTTCCCAAGCATTGAGGCATAAACACCAACATCTTCATGCTGTCACTCAATTAACCCATCAGTTCGGTGGAAAGGTGTCTGATATCTCCGAAAATAACTGCATCGTGGAGCTGTAAGAATACTTTATAAAGAACCAATTTCTTTTGCCCTCTTTTTTTCCCTCTACTGACACGTATCTGGGGATGAAAATGCAAGGTCAGCAAAGCCGTCCCGAATTGATGCGTTTATGAAGCTTATTGGGCCGTTCGGTATTCTCGAGTCTGCAAGAACGGGTACTATTTACTTCCCCCCGTGCCGGAATTATACAAGGGAACGGGGGATAACGGCTCTGACTATCTGGATCTAGGGTTGATGGCGCTGCCACGATCTCCTCTACAAACGAGAGCCGAAGAAATTGAAGTCAAGGATGCCGGTGATGTGGTGGATGCTAGTACACTCCCTCCTGGCTAAGCCATAGATACCTTTTGCCTCTTGGGGGGGACCAAATCCGTAATCAAAATCCCCCCTGTCTACTATATCAGCTGCCGACGAACTTGAGATAGACGAGGCTCGAGTTTTAGTATTTCCCAAAGGGAGATCAAATCTTGAGCGTAATTAAGAGCCTCATGTTAGTGAATAGAAAATGTTAACATGCGCCTAGTATGTGTGCGGGTAATAAATTGTATGTTTTTTAAATGTAGACAAAGACTGGCCAAACTGAGCACAAGTATAAAGGGCGCCGGAGGGAAAGGAACAAGGAAACGATTCATACACAGAAGCCCAACTCATCTCAAATGAATGTTTGCTCCTATGGGATTAGTCGAATTGTAAAATATCTCCATCTGCAGCTTGCCAACGCGGACCAAGCATAATGCCTCAGCGTGAACAGCCAGTCTCCCGCCCAACGCTTTCCTCATTGCTTCATACCCCACACCCCCAATCTTCCAGCGCACAGGAATCCTAGGTGTGATTGTTCTTCCTTCCACTGCCGGCTTGATAGCGAACGGTTTCGAGGACTCAATTTCCCCTAATTCGTTACACCGATATTTTGCCGTACCATTGATTGCTTCTACCGTAACCTCGTCTTTGCGGAGCGGATTGTTGACGAGGAAATCGGCTGTGGAAGATATCAAATGAATCTGGGGTCGAGAAATAATAAGTACTTTACTGAGGAGATGCCAGTGCCGGTATCTAGAGGTGCAGATATGCTTACATTCGCGGAGTCAATAAAGGTTGGAGGGGAATCGGATGCCCCGCCGTTTCTAGGCACTGGGAGACGTGGGGTCGGCATGGTCACGTTGAAGTTTGAGAGAAGTTTGGATAGTAATGGCATGGAGGGTATGCTGTTGGTATGTGGGTGTAAAGTGATTGTGGTGTTATAGCCTGCGATCTCTGGTAAATTTGGAGCATGCAGGGGGAATATATTGGTGGAGGCACGTACCAGATACGTATTTGCCAGCGAGACGTTTACCCGCCTCCTCAGCCATGTGGCCCCCGTGAGCTTGTGGATCCCACGTTGCTCCGATAGAGAGGGAGTTTATTCCTGCCATCAAATGTCCATTGACTATACTCGCATTTCCTAATACAAAGCCATCGTACATGATGTGAACGCTCATGTGAGGAACAATGATCTCCCAAGGAGTTGGATTTTCGAGACTTAGACCGATTCCAAGCGTGGCGGACTGCGTTGTTGTATCGACAATGAGTACTTCGTTGACTTTTGGTAACGGCATCTGAGTGGTCGGAAGTCCATCAATTTTTATCTCTCCCGAGGCAGGGATATTCCTAACAACAAATTGCCCAATGATGGTTCCAATTCCTACATCTGTTGATCCATTAATGCCGAGAAATATCGATTTTCCGTCACCCGATAGAAGCTTCCGAACGATTTTATCAAAAATATGGTAATCCTCGATGTCCACTAATGAGTCGCGAACCTCGGCCTGAACGTAAAGGTACTTGGAATCATTTGAGGTTGCTGAACTCGCCGGGATCCACTTTGGAAAATGCAGAGTTCCGAATCTGTGGCCTTCATAAGTTGCGTCTGCCGTTGCCTTTAAGCGACTGACATCTAATGGAAAGGTCATTTTTTGAGGCAGGCGAACTGTGGCAAGTACATCAGCACTCAGTCGTAGTGATGCCTCTGGAGTCCCTTTAGGGGCATTCGGAGAGGGAAGCTGAAATTTAACACCGGACAAGCTGAATGATTTCACGACGCTATCGAAACTGTGCCCGGGAAAGGGGGCTGGGAGAGTGATGGTTTGAAGAAATTCTAGCAGCCAGCTAGGCGCATTAGAGGTTGGAGATTGCGATCCTTGAATGTATACAGTAGTGTCTTTTCCGTGTAGATAGGTGCCTAAGAATATGTCGATCGGAGATGTGTGGGAACCTGGGCACACTGTTACGAGTTCCTCAGGAATATTCCGAACGATTCCAAGCACATCCACACCGACGTCGGTTTTAGACTCAACTGAGAGGTGTGAAGTCTCAGCAGTGGCTAAATTTACTAAATCATCTGCCTTGCACCCAGACAAAAGAATGACAAAAGATAGGGGTGGTACATCGAATTCGAGTGGATATGGATTTTGCAGAACGGTAGAGACGTTGACACTGAGCGCTTTGTGTCCTGGAAGAGTTATTTCCCCAACATCCATCCGGTTAACCTGGAACTCAGGCAGAGAGGGCAATTCTGATTGACCATATGTCAGTCTATTGACCGGGTATTTTATTACTTGTATCTGGAACCTTCAAAGGCCATCTCTTCGGATATTTTCATGGTCCGCAAGTGAAGCAGGCCGGACTTCAACCCTAAATCTGCCACACCGAGCACCCTGATCTTCCCCAACCCCCCAACAAGATAATCGTTGGCTAGGCTACGAACAGTGTCCCGGGATCCGAGTTTGACATCGGACACGAAGTCCAACTTTGTAGTTTGGCCATTCCTAACGGGGAGTACAATTGGTGGGGTACTTGCGGTGACGAGGAGACCGCCATCATAGTCAGGTAAATAAACCTCAACGTTGGTCGCGTCTATCGATATCTGGTTGACAATCCAAGTCCCTGTGCGGCCTAAGCTCCGTACAGCTTGGCCTTTGACACGACTAGCATCCATCTGAACGGACGCTTGCACGCGAACCTTCACTCCATTATCGGTAAAGGAGTCGACGGATAGATGAGTGATATCCAGGACAACGGCTTCTTTGGCATACTGAGCAGCCGCTGCAGGAGCAAAAAATCCCAGCAACAGAACGCTGATTGCGCTAACGCAAAGAAATACTAGAACTATTAGGTCGAGCCTAATTAGTCTTGGCGTTCCAGAGTGCTCAGTGGCAACGGCGTTAGAAGGCCGTGATGGGTCTTCGGCATAGTTAACGGGGGGAGTTTCTGAAGAATTGGACAGAAGAGATGTTCTCTCAGTGGATGAAGCCGGAGCATGGGTGGGGGGGTTTCGTGGGAACATCGTGTGGGGGGTGCGCACCCGTAGAAGGGGTGCAAAGCGAGAGGAGGGACAGTCGGAATGAAATAGGACGGGTGATTTGATCAAGCAAATTGAATAGTGGAAAAATGCAGAAAGGGCGGGAGATGTTACTAACTTTAGGGGTACAAGTGGGGGGAGAGGCAAAGCGAAGAGGGAGAAGGTGTTGGTGGATAAATTTATGGGAGGGCGGATGAGTGAGAACATGGTAATGTATTGTGCTTGGACAAAATTAACCCCGATTCAACAGAGGAAAATCTTTGGCGATGACAAACACACTTACCCACCAACCCTCTATCACGAAAACAAAACAAAAGAAAATTAAAAGATGCAAACACATAGTAGAAATTAATATTTGACTATAAAAACAATCAGTCATCATCTGGCTAATCCCTCTCTCCCCTCTCCTAGCCTTAGGTTCAACACAATCCTTATTCTATTTCTCATATGGGTATCTGAAAACCCATTTTCTCATCTTTCCTTCTCCCCTTTCCACAGGTACCTCATCCCCCCACATTGCCTTCCTTTTCCACATCTCCTTTATCCAATACCTATGAGCTAATGCCTATTTCAACCTCTCTTGAGCTAGATCCTCATTCACATGAACTCTTTCTTATGACTTGTACTTTCTAAAATGCCTTTTTTTTGAGTCTTCTCCTTATTGTCCTACTAGAAACATTGGGAACAACTTGCTCAGCAATGTCAGAATAGGTAGTATGGTGATTTTTAAGAGCTTCTACCACCATAGAATCATCTTCTGATTTGGTAGCTTTAGGATGTCTTCCTCTACCCTTATTCTCCCTACCCTCTTATTGTTCTTTTGCAATTGTGTCTCTAACATTAATGTAGGAAATATTAAGGTAGAGGGAAATTTGCTGATATCTCATTTAAGGCTCATGTAACCTGAGAATCCTTCCCATGGTACACTCAGGGAGATGTGTGGAAGGAATAGGTTTTTTGGCATTATTGCAAAGAATAGGAGGTATAGTTTATTGAAAAAAAGAATTAGGCAGAATGATTTCTTCTTGATTGACTTAGAGCAATATTTTTGGATACTGTTGAGAGTGTGAGGTGATGAAGAGAAGTAGGTTACCATCAATTATTGAATCGGTGTTAATTTTATCAACGTACAATACCAGAATGGTAACAGAGATGGCTATGACAAGCTTGCTTGTCAAATGAATAGTCTCATATGAGAATGATTGAGGAGCAACAAAGGAGTGAGAGTGAGAAGTGGTGTGGGGTTTCTCAGTTTGCAGTCAGACTAAATAGATATTAGTATGATACTAAAAAAACAAAAAAAACAAAATAAAAGACTGGTGAAATACGCTAGTACAAGATCTCTTATTATTGATCAAGTAGGATTGAGGCTTGTCACATGATATCGTAATTGGTACTCAGGTATATCATGAATTTATGGTACAAGGCACTAGTAATATCTCCTTGAATTAGTAAGCTTCAAAATAAATAAAACATTATGAGAATACAGTTGCACCTCACTATCCCAGATAGCCAAAATCTGCGCATTTTGTCCAGATCAGCATGAAATCTGGAATAGTGGAGTAATGCCAATAATATATTTCATAATTTCTCACCATAGAAGTTGTACAAAGTGTTTTTATCTTAACAATCATTCATAACCAGTATTGATATGCCTCCACTTTCATGCTTGGTTGAGACACAGCTTGTATTATCACCTTCCTCCTTATCAGCATCATGCTCCTTACTGCTAATCTAATTATACTGGTATTCCAGATCAATAATAGTCCCTTCCTCCTCACCTCTTCTTGAACTTTTCCCCTCTCCTGCACTATCCCTGAGATTCTCCTCCAGCTCTCCTGGTTACCCGCATTGGGCTTAAAGGATTGGATAAGCGCAGTTTGCTGAGTAGAACAAGTTCTTCAATAGCTAAGGTAAAATTATTAGAGAAACCAAGAAGTATAAGTTACACCTCACAGGTGGTAATAATTGAAGAAGAAATTTACCTAATAAGAGCAGAATTCAGTCTCTACATAGAAGAGACAAGTTGATTGACAGGTATAGTGCTCTTTCCATTGCTATCACATTTCGGAGAGGGAAAAGTGGTTGTTTCAAGCTCATGTACAAATCAAGCAAGTTCCCTAGTATAGTGAATTGTAGTTTCCAATTCAATTAAAGGAATAGGAATAGGCTGTAGTTTATCATGCTCAAAGTTATAATCAATTTTGTCTAATTAATTAGCAGGACAATAAAGAACTCCAGTATTGATCCCACACTCAACAACACCTATTACATCAGGAACTAGATGGTCATTCTCAATGTGGCTGGGGGGTTTGAATTCTTTATTGGTATCATTCAAGTAAGAATTGAACGAATCCTGATTCTGACATGTTTTATTGAGCATTGTCCAGTCTTCTAAAAACCCTTAACGCTGTGCTGAAATGAAGTCTTTGGTAAGGTTTTCCCCAAGGTTGACTTGGGAGTCAGACAGTGGTGTTGTGATTTTTTCCTTTCGTCCAACAGTTTCTAATTGTGTTTGCCATAACTGAGTCCCATGCACTTGCTATCAAATAAATAGCCTGTAAAATGTCAATTTTGAGAGGTTTTTGGCCATGGAGATTGAAGTGTTGAACCATGTACTCTGCATATAGTAGTTTGTAGGAGGCTTTGAAGAAGGCAATAATTCCTTAATCAAGAGGTTGAAGAAAGGAAGTTGTATAACATGGAAGGTAAATAAGCTTGATATTTGTTAAAACTGTAGGAGTTGGTTCAGTATACTCGAGTGGAGAGGACTCAGGGCAGGAATAAGTAGGACAATTATCTGTAGCAAAGGCAATGTGTTATTGTGAAATTCGTATTTTGTCATTGAAGCGACAAAGAAACTCATACTATAACTCTGTTAGAAGCTAAGCTTTCTTGTTAAATCTATAAACTACAGGAAGATTGTCAGGATTGACACACTGCTGACGAAAGTACTAAGGCCTTTCTGCTTATCCTATTACCTAAACCTTTCTCTTATCTGTTCCAGCTTTATTGATAATATGAAAAGTTGTAATTCTTGTTTCTTCATCCTCTCTCCCTCGATACTGCTTACAATTCTCAAGCTGCATATTAGATGATTGTGGCTGTTCATTGAACATAAATCTTCTTTCATCACAATTCTATTGATTACTGAGATGGAAAGGTACTAGCTCTCTAGCTCAGCTCTCTCATTGTACTGGAAGTGGAGCCTGATCTACCTTACCTGATTGGCCATATGTCCGTAGTTGTTTAAAGTTATGTCAATTTTTAAACCACTGCGACCATTTAATTGATATCTCAAATCCATTATGTGGCTCCTCCACTCATGCCTCTTCAAGTGTTGCTTGAATCATTTTTCCTTGAGTACGAATAATCTCGTCAGTTACAGGTATGCATTCATATTCAGCCGCATCCATCCAAAGTGCATAGAAATGCTCAAGGAAAGTATTGTTTTCACTACAACTTTTTTTACTTTGCAGCAATTGCACCGATTAATAGAGTTGGTTATTAGCTATTATCTTTTTATTTTTTCCTTTTTTACTCGCCTTGAGGATATTCTCCCTTTCCCTTAGCTGCCCATCCCTTCAAGTAGTTAGATAGATTTCAAATCATAGGAGGGGATCTATTTATTCCATTAGGGCATTCATTAAGCAGTGCAAATTTAGTAACCTTCATCTTTGGATACCATAAATAAAATAATAGAGATCATATTTCTATATCATCGTCTATTCAAGCTTTTTGCTAGTCAATTTTGTTAGTTGCATTGTATGGACTCGTGATTGTACTCAAAAACTCCACTTTTACATATCCCTGTACTCGATTCTTCTTATACAACTGGCAGTACTATTGACTCAGTCAAGGTGCAAAACAATTTTACAAAAATGCCTAATCTCTTTCCTACTCAACCTTTATCTCTTTTTAGGAATAGGACTTTTAAGTCTACCCTAATATTTTGTTCAACAGAATTAAATTCTATAGGAGCAGGGATAACTTGCTATGAGGTATCATACAAATCTGAATATGCCTATTTTACAGTTCAGTAAGTGCTTTTACATACGATTTCACTACCCTCACTT